CCATTTGTTGCTCTGAGCAGAAATCTCTCTTTCGAGTCTGTGTGTTAGTTCTAAGAAGGGTGAACCTCAACAAGATACTGGCCAATGGTAAGCAAGTCAGACAATCTAGAATTCCTTTTTTACTCGAGTTCATTTACAAAGGCCATGTCAAGTACTTAGTGGAAAACAATGCTAGGTATATTACCACTGGAAAGAAGTACCATTACATTTCATGCAAATGTGTTTTCAGATGGCTAGTTGACATGCTTTTAAAAACCGGGAAAGTCACAAAGGCGTGTTATCAATATGAATGTTTGTTTTGTTGCCCAAATTTGAGTGGGAACTCCCGTGAGGAGCATCTTCCCACTTGTCACATGGTGGTTTGTGGAAATCGATTAAGATGACTGTTAGCTAATTTTCCAAGTGAATTCCCTCTTCTTTCTCTACGTATGACATAATTTTAATGTAATATACATGTTGAGGCATAGTAGGGGGTAGTTTGAAAGAATAAATTTTTGCCCATAAAGAAGTAAAATATTGTACATATGTGGATATGGAAAATAGAGATTTGAGTTTTTATTATTTAATACCCTAAGCCACAGCTCAACACTTCTTACAAAGAAAAACAAACTGTCATCTCTACCAGGTTTCCCAGATAATCCCATTCTGAAGAGCAGACTTGGAAACCTCTAATGCTTAGAACAGCATATTGTTATTTTCTTGACTATTTCTCAAAAAGTATGCAAATTCTAACTTTTGGGTTGTGTTACTCCCTCAGTTACACAAAACATATAACTGATCTTTGGTAAAAACCAGAAACATTCACGGTATTTCTTTAGCCCTTAGCCACCTAGCATGTGTGAACTGTAAAAATAAAGTTCTCTATTTTTGTGAGTGTTATGTGAAAATACTTTACTGATGATGTTATATGCCACCCAAAATTATACCAAGTTGGGTTTTGAGAGAGTTATAATTACTAGTAATACTACAATTACTACTACTATTAATGATAATAGGAAAAGTCATAACTACCATAGTATTTTTGCAAGTATAGAATATAGTATTCTGGCCAAAGTTTTATTTAGGGTATAAATTTATATACTCAGTGCTTAGCATTAAGGCTTCCCAGATTTAAGAGCACGGAACTGTTTAAACTTCTTCGTTGATACAAGTAAAAAAAGCACAGTATTTTTTCTTTGATATGTATATTATATGTATAATATCTATAAATGAACAAAACTTATAAGGTTATAGAAATAAGCTCAGAAACAAAAGTCAATTATAATCAAAGATGGCCAGTGCTTCTTGGGCATCCTGCTACATTCCCTCCCATGCTCATGACAGACATTATTTGTTGACTGTAGCCAGAGGCAGCTTCAGATCTCTCTCCAAACAGTGCTCTAGGAAGCCACAGTCAGCTAGCAATGGCAAAGGGACCAAACCAGTTCATTATGAATGGATCAATATAGATAGAACATGACATCTTGTCATCTAGACATCTCTCATTGTATCTGCATCTATAACCAAAAAGGTTCTACTCTGTACAAATTAAGTTGAAGGAAATGAACCCTTAGCTTGTAAGAAAGAAAATGGAGGAACAAGATCACCTCAGAGCTGTTCATCTGAATGTTTCTATATCCTTTCGGACCTATGGAAGCAGACAGAACATGTCCCTATATGAAGCAATTAGTTTTGGAAAAGGAAGTTAGCAAGGATTCCACCATCAGGAATTCCCTCCCACAGGAAATGTGGCCTTGGAGGCTGATGGATGACCTGCTCAAAGGAAGTTGGCTGCAGTGTTTCCATGTCAGGGAAGCAAACCCTGACCTAGAGGGTGCTCTTCTGTGGAAGACTCAGGCTGGCTAAGAATAGAAATGGGCTGTGTGACAATGAAGCTGAAAATGATTTCCTCTTGTCTTTATTTTTTCAGTTTTAAAAATACTTTTTTTTGTGTGTAATTTATATATTTATGTACTTCACTGGTGGTCTTTTGGCAAGCAATGAAAATGGCTATTAAATTTGAGAATTCTTTTTTCGTATGTATGTGAGAGGAGTAGGAAAACCTACTAGAAAAGGAATATAGTACTTGACCTATACAAAAAAAAAAAAAATCCAAACGAAACAAGCATCTGTATTAGTCTGTTCTCACAATGGTATAAAGAAATGCCTGAGACTGGGTAATTTATAAAGAAGAGGGGTTTAATTGGCTCACGGTTCTGCAGTCTGTACAGGAAACATGGCTAGAGCGGCTTCAGGAAACTTACAATCATGGTGAAAGGTGAAGAGGAAGGAGGCATGTCTTATGTGGCCAGAGCAGGAGGGAGAGAGTGAAAGGGGAGATGCTCCATACTTTTAAACAACCAGATCTCATGAGAACTCACTAGTATGATAACAGCCAGGAGGGAAACTGCCCCCATGATCCAATCACCTCCCACCAAGCCCCTCCTCTTACATTGGAGATTACAGTTTGACATGAGATTTGGGTGGGGACACAAATCCAAACCATATCACAAACCCTATGTCAAAATAGAAAGACTGTAAGTTTCACAAACAAGAGTTACATGTTTTCCTGAGGGGTCCCAGTGGTACACTCAATGTTCTTAGCCTTATGTAAGCTCTCAAAGGATAGGTGTTTGTTGGTCCATCTTAAAACATTTCGGAATTGAAGTTCTACTAAAATCCCATCAATGTATTAGGGAAATATATAAGGTTTTCCTATCATGAAAATCAGGATAAAAAATGATTAGAATTTAAGAGGTCATGTTAACAGCATAATAAGGTGGTCAGATATAAAAGTCAATATGCACAAATTAGTACTTTTTTTTTTTTTTTTTTTTGAGACAGAGACTTGCTCTGTCACCCAGGCTGGAGTGCAGTGGCACGATCCCAGCTCACTGCAAGCTCCGCCTCCCGGGTTCGCGCCATTCTCCTGCCTCAGCTTCCCGAGTAGCTGGGACTACAGGCACCGACCACTACGTCCGGCTAATTTTTTGTATTTTTAGTAGAGATGGGGTTTTACTGTGTTAGCCAGGATGGTCTTGATCTCCTGACCTCGTGATCCGCCCCCTCAGACTCCCAAAGTGCTGAGATTACAGGCATGAGCCACTGCACCTGGCCAAATTAGTACCTTTGAAACATTAGCAATAATGACTTAAGAGAACATAATGATAAAAGAAATCTCATTCACAATAGCAACATAACACATTTTATACTTGGGAAGAAATAGAAAATGTGCAGGACTTTTATAAAAGGGTATTTAAAAACCTATATAAATGAAGTTCTATTTCATATTTTTCAGTGGGAAGAGTCCACATTGTAAAGATGTTGACAGGCTGGTTCTCACATATGAAAAGAATACCAATGATTAGCAAATTAACTTTTAATAAAAAATAACAATGGGATATGACCTACTAATAATGAGAATATAGTATAAAAGCAGTGTATTTAGGCATAGGGATGAACAAACACATTAAGAGAAAAAAATAGAACACAAACCCAGACATGTACAAGAATATTGTTCATAGCAAAGGTAGCATCTCAGCTCAATAAAATTATTAAAGACTTCTCAATAACTTGCATTGTGACAATTGGCTAACCTAGGAAAAAATTACTCAGTTCATAACATAAGCAAAAATATTCAGAGAGATTAAAGAAAGTAACTGTTAAATTATAAATGTATTTGAAGAAAATGTTTTTTAAATTTATAATTCTGGGGGTAGAGAAAGCTTTCCTAAGCAATACACGAAACTCATAAATCATATAAGAAAGTATAACTTTGAGCCCCATAAAAATGAAAAAATAAAGTTCTGTTTGATAATCATAAAAATGAAGTTAATAAGCTACAGACTAGGAGAAATATTTATAACATATATAAAATATAATATATAGAGTGCTTGTGTATGAAGAAAAATACAAATAACTGAGTAGAAGGTATAAAGAGGATACAAAGATTCATCTACAGAGGAAATTCCAAAGCATAGATAAAATAGATGATATTTACCAGAACGTAAAGTAAGCCTACTCTTTGATCTTGTGATACACTCTAGGAATCTGTTCTGCAGAAATACTCATAGGCACTAAGACATATTTACAAGCGTATTTGCTATTTATAATAGGTATTATAATAGCAAATAAGTAGAAACAAACTATATCATTAACAAAATTTGATGTAACCATATTACAGAACATTCCATTATTATAAAGAAAGAACTAGATCTTTACATGTTAAATTTAAAAGTTTTTGAGACCGAAATATATTTTATTTTATTATGATTTTTTGAGATGGAGTCTTGCTGTGTCACCCAGGCTGTGTGTAGCACAGTGGTGCAATCTCGGCTCACTGCAAACTCCACCTCCTGGGTTCAAGTGATTCTCCTGGTTCAGCCTCCCAAGTAGCTGGAATTACAGGTGCCTGCCACCACACCTGGATAATTTTTGTATTTTTACTAGAGATGGGGTTTTGCCATGTTGGCCAGGCTGGTCTCAAACTCCTGACCTCAGGTGATCCACCCGTCTTGGCCTCCCAAGTGCTGGGATTTACAGGCGTGAGCCACTGTGCAGAGCCTTAAGACCCAAATAAAAACAGGTTGTCACAGCATAGCAGAATCATATGTAATACATTACATATGTGTCTCACATATGTATAAATACACTGTATTCATTTATTTTTTACCTCATTGCTTTTGGGTATTTTTTCTTAAGCACCTTTTCCTTTCAATAAAAGTTGTGTAGATTTAGGCAGGGCGCGGTGGCCTATGCCTGTAATCCCAGCATTTTGGGAGGACGAGGTGGGCGAATCACGAGGTCAGGAGATCGAGACTATTCTGGCTAACACGGTGAAGCCCCGTCTCTACTAAAAATACAAAACAACAACAACAACAAAATTATCTGGGCGTGGTGGTGGGCGCCTGTAGTCCCAGTTACTCCGGAGGCTGAGGCAGGAGAATGGCGTGAACCCCAGAGGTGGAGCTTGCAGTGAGCAGAGATTATGCCACTGCACTCCAGCCTGGGTGACAAAGCAAGACTCTGTCTCAAAAAAAGAAAAATGTAGATTTAATGTGTACATTAATGTGTACAGTATGCTCTTTTGATATAACTATCCATAGTGAAATAATTACAGAAAAGCAAATTAACATATTCTTCCCCTTACATAGTTGCTACTTTTTGTAACGATGTGTGTATGGCAAAAGCACCTGAAATTTACTTTCTTTAGTTATGCAGGATGAATTAGTCTAGCGATCTAATGGATTGACTCTTTTACTGTGTGAGAGCATAGTCATGTGGTTCTTATTGTTTAACTAAAATAATTTTTTGTTGTTAAATCAAAGAGGAATATTCAGGAAAGGTCAGGTCTGGTGGCTCAAGCTCTTCCTCACATGATAGAGAACTGCTTTGAGGAGACTGTGGGAATCACATGTCTGTTGCTAACTTGAGTTCAGTCTTCTCTGTACTTATGTATTCTCTTGACCTCAGGCTGTGCTGTCAATTTTTTCTCTTCTGAGGGTTTTTTTGAAATGAACATAAAAGGAAATCCTTTAAGACTATTCAGATCCTTGCTATGCAAAAATTGCGTTGTTGAAGGAGGTCTTAGACATGATCTAACGCAATTCCCAAACTTTATGTGGAATTCTGATTTCTGAGATGGCCAGGACACTTTATTTTTATTTTATTTTCAAGACAGGGTCTCGCTGTGTTGCCCAGGCTGGAATGTGTGGAGTGATCACAGCTCACTGAAGCCTGGACGTCCCGGGCTCAAGCGATCCTTCCACTTCAGCTTCCCGAGAAGCTGGGACAACAGGCATGTGCCAGCATGCCTGGCTAATTTTTTGTAGAAATAGTGTTTTGTCATGTTACCCAGTCTGGTCTCAAACTCCTGGGCACAAGCAATCTCCCTGCCTCAGCCTCCCAAAGTTCTGGGATTACAAGCATGAGCCATTGTGCCTGATCAACCAGAACAGCTTAATGGGAATTTCGTATTTCTCATGCTTGAGTCATATCCCCTTACCCAGAAACTGGGAAAACATCCTCACTGAAAACCCAAATAGGTGGTACTGCTTTCCCAATTTTTACGTCAACAAAACAAGGTAATTTCATTCAAAGGAATTAGAGTTAATATTATGTATTTTTCAGCAAATTGATTCTGTGATGCCATTTGATGACCTACAAAAAAATGTGTCCCAGTGTTTCTTCAGTGTTCTATATTAGGGCCCTTTTACACACAAACTCTGCGGTATTCCTTTCCACCAGCTCTGCCCAGCACTAGCCTGGTTACTTCATTTCCATTTGTCAAATCACTATTCGGGGGTAGTTGGTCATGTCAGTGTGTTTAAGCCATGTCACATTATTTTGTTAGTCAGGTCCTATGTGTCCCAAGAGTCCTTGAAGAAACTCGCTGGTCTCTTTAGATCCTAGCAAGGAAAGACTAGAAATGCCTCCTTCTAATTTGGTGATTGTATTTCTTATAGAACAGACTGCTTTGGCAATAAGGTGCCAAATACTGCTACTCAGAGCTTATCTGATTTGCATGCAGCTAAACTACCTCTGTGTACTCAGCTGCATGTCCCTATAGAAAAACCACCTTACTACCTTTAGAACTTCACTGTCCATTGTCCTATTCTGGAATAGACAGTAGCTCTGACTATAAGTTAAAATGGGCTACATTAAACACTGGCGGGCTCTTGCATTTCTCTCATTTGGTCCTTCACTGACAAATTCACATAGTGCAAAGGTCATGGGCAAGCTATAACTGTTCTCTGGAGCGCCAAGCTGGCTGCCCCTAGGGAACTTATGTTCCACTCTCCTAACTGGTCTGATTAAAGCACAGACCACTTGAGAGACAAGGAGGTTGGAAGAGTATCGATGCTCAGGTCTCCAATCACCCACATATTTGTATGAGAGCCTTGGACTCCTGGACCCAAAGCCACTGTAATTACTTTATAACTTAAAAATCATGGTTTTCAGTTTTAAAAATTCACGTAGAAATGGAAGTCACTGTGCTGGAAACGCGTCTTTCCTTTCTGAGTTCTGTAATGTTATGTTATCTTCATATGTTTACAACAGAAGGAAATGGTCCTCCTGGCTGCCAGTGAGTGAGGTAGCAGAGTAGAGCTGCTTTCTAAAATCAGAGCTAATATTCAGCACCAGCTTCTATGGTCTTGTGTTTTGATGTGCTGACTATTGGGCCTACAGAAATACACCTTCTGTTTATACTTCCAAGTGTTCCTTTTATCTCTAGATAAAAGTGTACAGGGGAAGTTGCCAAAATTAGTCCACCTTTTGGGCCCAGGCCATAGTTAAACTTAGATCAGTTTACAGATCAAAGAGTTCCATTCTGATCCAAATAGCTGCAGGCCAGCAGCATGGCTGGTGGCAGTATGAAGTGGCTGAACACCTTCTGATTTGGAATATCTGAGCAATACTTTCTGGGCTGCAAGGCACAAAAAGAGGCAGGATGCATGTCTGCTCTTGAAACGACTGTCTACCTTCCAGGATTTGACAGAGGAGCACTTGTTTAGACTTTGGTGTATAATCCAGTGGGAAGCTCCCAGATAGTCCTAAAGGCTGCTGCAGGGGGTCTCTATGAAGGCAGGTACTCTCCTCTCCTCAATACACACAGAGTTAATTTTGTTCACAGTCCTTCCATGCTTCCTTTAGGTAAAGCCAGACTGTCGAGGTTTCTTCTTTGCCAGGTAGTAGCAACTCCCCACCCAACTCTCTTTTTCATTTTGCATTTCGGTTCTGATTTTTAGAGTCTTAGACTGCTGTCCCTGGGGAGAGTAGGAGCGGACAGAAGATTTTTGGGCTCTGTGAATCAATAGGGTCACCAAATTATTTACTATCCAAACCAGCACACTTTTGTCAGTGAAAGAGGCACTGTTGGTAATTAAATCTGGACTAGAGTCAACTGAGACTCTCCTGGCAAACTGCGATGTATGGCCATCCTCTGCGTAGAGAATTGGGTGACTTCTGGCTCTAGAGACGCAAATCGAATGCTTCTTTTCCTGTGCATGATTGGGCATTTTTAGTCACTCCTCTAAATTATTATAGACTATCATTTTCTGCTCTTGATAGCAAATATAGCAATAAGAAAAAAAATTGGATAATAAATTTTCTTATGACTCAAAACACAGCCCCCTTGTTAAATAATATTGCTTCAGAATAGATTTTCTTGCAAAGAAAATGTTCTGTACAAATTCTTTAAAGAAGTCTTTCAAGTGGATTTTTTAAAAATGATGCCACCACCCACTACTTACAAAGAAAGTCTTGAAAGGGAGCGGCAAGGCCTCAGGCCATTTCTAGCAAAGAGATGTACAATCAGTACCAGCAACACAAAAATGCTCCTGTAACTGCACCCAAACTATTTTTTGTGCCTAACAAATTTTTGTCTTCAAGCTGCAGTTGTATGGCTGTGTTTCCTTTCTGTTTGTTTTACCACTTCCCTTCGAAATATTTTGCATCATCCTGGAGATTTTCCCAAGTTGTGGTCTGCTCGCTGGGGGTCCGAGCTCCTCTGATTTGCTGCTTGAGGCTGTGTTGCCATGGCAGGGGTTGTTTACCATAGATGAACACTTGACAGGATGGGCACCTCCCACAGCCATTCCAACCTCCTTTCCTCCTCTTCTCCACTCGCTTAGATATTCTGAGACAGCAGCCCAGATATGGCTTTCTCTAATCGTAAACTACATTCCCGGAGCGTGAACTTGACTTTGCTATGCTTTCGAGATAGGGAAATGTTTGGCTCTGTTTATTCCTCTTAAACTGGGCAGTGTCCTCTTGACTTTTATGACTAATCCACTTGTCATGGCTGGAATCTCCTAACAATTCTTTCCCTCAGGTAAATCACATCACTCAGGCTTGTGAAGCAAAAATGCCACTGAGGCCAAAGGGTGACCTTTTGGTGGTCGCAGCCCATTCACCTGACAGGTCTCTGTTGCCCGGGAGGATTTTTTTTTTCTCCAATTAAAGGAAAGCTTAGTCAGAACCTGACAAGTCTTGCTCCCTCACATTCCTGCAGAGGAACCAGCCTGGGGAGAGATAAGAGCCGTGGGTTGACACCCTGATTATGCTTACCTTTTTATTTGTTAAATGTGGAAATTGACTTCATCCAATTAATAAGAGCAGGAAACAGTTTTTGTTTTGTCTTTGTAGGAAAACATGAAGTAACGGTTTTATCTCAATTTGTCAGGCATTGCCCAAGAGACTACAGTCATGTGGGCCGGTGGCCAAAAAATTGCTCTAAGGCCCAAGTATTAACACCCAGATATAAAAAGAATGCTAATTGGTTTTCCAGCTGAAAAATAATAAGGGATTTGCTGCCAAAAATGCTGTATGGCCTGGAAACCCCAAGTTTATACAATAGGGCCTGATTGCAATCTGGGGGCTCCATTTGTCCTCCTATGAAGAGCTAAACAAAGGGAGGTGTTTCGCTCCTCTGCCTTTGTAGAAAGCTCCGCTCCAGATCTCAGCCTGGTGGAACACCAGGCTTCCCACAGTCTTCCTGCCAAATCCCCAAGTTTTTTCCTGGCTGCCATTCAGGAAAGTACAGCTTCGTCTGTAGGATGGAAAGTTAAAAAGGCCTTGCTTGGATACGCTGAAATATATACAAACACTGCCTGACGTATGGAGTAGGCTGCTGCCGCTGGCATCCTAGCAGAAAGAATGTGAAACTTTTAAAAGTCATTTTGGGTAAGTGATTGAGATGTTAGCTGGAAGAAGAGACTTTTTTTTTTGTTGTTTATTTTTGAAAAAAGAAAATTCAGCATTCCCCTTGATCTTCAACAGTTATCCACCTTAGTTTTCTCATTGGTAAAATGTCAGCTAACCTCCAAGATCCCGTTCAGTTCAGGGGCTTGTCTCTAACTTGAGGACCGGGTATAGCATATGTAGAAAATACTGGCTGTCTACTGAATATCTTTGAAAAGGTCCCTGGAAGTGAGTTGGGATGAAAGTCAAAGTCTGGAGCACTGGCATGGTAAATCCCAGGCTGGTACTCTGATGCATATTGGCGGGGTGCCATCCTTCCTGTGACTTCACACTACAACTCCAGGTCTTATATCACTTATGGGAATGCACCTGAATTAAAATGATTGCATAATACTTACAACTCTGTTCTCTTTATTTCCAGTTGATGGTAAATATCATGGCAAAATTCATAGCATTTAATTAATCTTACCCATAATGTTTTTAAGTTGTAGTTAATACTAAAATACACTATCTTTTCACCAATCATGGTCATAGACTATTATCCTAGTCATGTATGTAATGATGCAACTAAGTTAAAGAGTTTTTTTTTTTTTTAAAGAATTACTTTGAAAAATGAAGTAAGACGTATTCTCAACAACCAACTTCTGCCAAAATATGCAAAGAATAAAACAGGCCATAAGAATCCATTGATGTGTACAAAATTATTTTTTGACAGAAACAGGCAAGTAACTATGTTTGTTGCTATCAATGCTTTTCTCTTGTTTATTACTTTCCGTTATTATTAATGTGTTTGCCCTTAAAGTAGTGACGCAACATGGAATGTACGTAAGAGTTTAGGGATGGGGAGCAGTGGCTCACACCCGTAATTCTAGCACTTTGGGAGGCCAAGGTGGGCAGATCACCTGAGGTCAGGAGTTCGAGACCAGCCTGGAAAACATGGTGAAACACTGTTTCTACTGAAAATACAAAAATTAGCTAGGCATGGTGTTGGGTGCCTGTAATCCCAGCTACTCAGGAGGCTGAGGCAGGAGAATTGCTTGAACCCGGGAGGCAGAGGCTGCAGTGAGCCGAGATCGCACCACTGCACTCCAATCTGGGCGACAAGAGCACACCTCTGTCTCAAAATAAAAATAAAAAATATAAAAGAGTTTAGGAAGCATTTCTTAAAACCTGCTGGGCCTCAAGACTTTTTACCTTTAGGAGACACTAAGAAGTAGAAGGAGCATGGAGCTAGTGTTGCTGACCTTTCATTAGGTTCACTCCACCAGGTTAAAATTAATTTTCTGGCGTCCCACATCCTTCCGTGTGGACTCCAGTCTCCTTGGGCACACTCCTGCCTCTGTGATTTTCTACTTACTCTTTCCTTCACCTGGAGTGAGGGAGCTTTCTTCTCTCCATCTCTCCATCTTTTGGGATTCAGTTCGATCCCCACATGATTTGTGAAGCCTCCTCAGACCACTCCAGTGCCCTTTGTTTCCCACTTCTCTGAACTCTCATTGCTCTTATCATTTTCAGAAACAAGGTAAACACATGGAAGATTCAAGTGAGAATTGAACTGGAACCCAGAAGGTAAAGATGATACCCTTTTTTCTTGCAAAGGGCAGAGACCCACTCAATTGTCTCAAACTAAGGAGAAGTTATTGTAAACCTACAAAGTCCAAGAAACGGGCCTTTCATAATGTAAACTGGAAACCTCTTGGAAGCCTAGGCAGCTCTCTCTGACTCTCAGGATCACACAGTACCCCTCCGACTCTTTCTTAGGCATGTCTACTTTCATTTTCTTCCCTTTTCTCTCTTCCAAATTTTTAATTTCTTCCAATTTCTTTGTCATTTCTGGTTTTATGCTTCAGCTCAACTTCCCCCAAATATCTGAATTAGACTTAGGATCTTTGTTCCAAATTTAAAGGGATTGGATCATCTTGTGCTGCGTATCCAGCCTTCTGTTCAATCAGTGTTGTTGGCAGGGCAGGGCAGTGTGGTACAAACAGCTGCCTAAACCACTCCTACTGCAGCCTGTAGATGGAGGAGTAGACAGCTACTCCAGAAGATATCCATAGCCTACAGAGTTGTATTATTCACTTTAGGCAAATTTCTTAAGGGCAAGGAATAGATTTCTGTTTGCTTACTCCTATTACTGTGTTTGGCACAGGCCTGTTCAGCTGTCCCAGTGATTCTCAACCCTGGTTGCACATTAGAATCAATTTTAGGTGCATTTCGGTGTCTACTCCTCTCCTTGTCACCACCACAAGGAGTGCTGATTTCATTGTTTTGGGGGTATGGCCCAGACATCAAACATCAAGAGCTGGGTTTTCCAGATAGCAGCCTTGTTCCTACTGAGGACAGGGCTACAGAAAGCGTTACTGCTGTGGGTGGAGAAGTGACTACCTTTGTAGCGGGAAACATGGTGGAAATTGAAGAGCTGTTAAAGAGGTTAAAATTCTTGCTTGGCCTTTGTAGTAGGGTAACTATATATTACATTCATGCTGTTTTAGATAGACTGGATACCAGTAATATTGGTAACTTTAGAAAGAGATAATAAAATTTTTAACTTTTGCATTTTTTGCTTTTTTCGATACCCATAACTTGTTCAAATGTGATAGTCTGAATATTTCCCAAAGGCTTTTCCTTTATCACATAATCAATGAATACATCTTCAAAATGAAGAGCTGTTCCTATATTCTTTGAAAATGTTGTTTCATAGGACTAGGAATATTTAAGACTTAACAACAAAGATGACAACACAGAGTGCTAACTGGATGATAATTGTTTTAGTTTTTCCAGTGGTAACTATAAAATCAGCATTTGATAAATTTGAACTGTGTTGTTTGCCTCCAGAATTGCAAGGAGTCGGTTTACTGCAGGCACTACATAGAGACACTCCTTCAGTGTATCCTTCACAAGGTCCTGGTGGTTGCCAAGGTTTGCCTTAGGTGTTAAAACCAACAGATGTGATTCACCAGTTGGAGAATTTCTTAAAGTGATTTCTGGAGTTTTTGAATATGGTCACTGAAACCAAGGAGTTTCTATTGAGTTGGCTCAATTTTTGATTCTTGAAAGAAAAGCACTACCTTTTCTGACAAGTGCTTCTGCAGCCACCTTGGGACATTTGTTAACAACCTCTGCAAGTCAGTCCATCCCTTATGATCACTTTGGTCATGATTTTGGTACAGAATGTGAATCACGGACTTTTACATTCCCTACCCAAGTTTCTCTCTCTGAGGAGGACCTAGTTTGCCAAATTACCTGCAATTACTCCTATTGAAGGCCTGGTAGTAGTAACTTCTTTGACAAAGGGCCTTGAGAGAGAATACCATGGAAGATATCATCATAGATTTTCGATACAGCATACCCAGACTCAGTTTCCTTCTGGTGTTACAGCACAGACCAGTTGCAATACTAGTACCTCGTTATCACAGAGCATCTTGTCCTGGACTATTTGACTATGAGGATCTCTTAAATTTACCACCATGTGTCCAACCAACACTGAATGGTCAACAATATAAATTGTAATGCTAATTCTTAAGGATCCTTTGGGGATGGTGTCAATGGCTTATCCTTTCTCTAGCATAATATTGGCTTTATTTGGGCAGAAGAAGTAGAGATACCACCACTGCAGGCTGACCAGGGGTTAGTGTATCTGCACTGACTGGAAGGTGCTCTGGAGTATGCAATCCTGTGCAGGAGATCCTGGTGACCATCTTGGCAAGAAAGCTGTGCTTGTTGGATGGGCACAACAGTTAAACAAGAGGATGGCTCCTTACTTGCTATGACCTCTGCAATCTTGCCCCATTTGGCAAAATTGATTATAGGAATTTTGCATATGTCAGATTTGATCCAAAATGAAATGACTAAAAGAAGATTCATTGATGATTTCATTGTGAAATCTGCTATAACATTATTCTGCTGCACATTATCAAAGAAGTGCCTTGTGTAGTAAAGTACAGAGATGGCACAACTTAGCACCATGTACATTTTGCTAGTTCTGTGTTGAAAATCTAAATCTGAAAAATTTGACCATTATTTATGAGAAGTCTATTTCTATTATCCCACAAGACTGTCAGGTGTGTTCATGAAGCAGCAACACAATAGCTGAATGAAAAATCTATTGTGGGATCTCCAAACGTTCAGAAGCATAGCAGGCTTTTTCTTTTACAGACTTTTGATTTTGTTGCCATGAGGCAACACGTAATCTCATCATCATGTAAATCCTAGGGAGCAAACTTCCTGGCAGAAATCTTTCAGTGTGCCCCAAAACAGCACTTTAAATGTAGGGTCTACTTGGGTATTGGAGTGGAGGTTGCTTTCTAGAATTTCTTATTGTTATCCAGTTTAATTTTGAAGAGGAGCTCCTCATCATTTCCTCTCTCCCACACTCCATTCCCCTCCCTCTTTTGTTCTCTTCTTCAACAAATGTTGAGTTAATCTCAAAACTGTATGATGAGCTTCTAGTGAAGATACAAGTATTAAATATGATCCTTACCCTCACAAAACTTTCTTCTTGTGGGGAGAGAGTATAGAAGAAACATATTGCAACCATGCTGGATGGCAGGAATTATATTTGGAGTGTTGTGGAAAACACAACTGGTCACCTAATCAATACTGGATGGAGTGGGACAGTTGAATGAGAAGGTGTAGTGTTAGGGGTGGTATCTGGAAGAGATGATCCCGGGTGTTGTTGGGAAGGTGGAAGAGAGCCTGTTTAAAGATGTGGGGGTGGAAAATGGAGGTAGACAAATGCATAAAGTCAAAGGATTAGGCGGCATCAAGGGAGTGGCAAATAGTTCTGTGTTACTGAAAAGTAAATTAGATGGGTTGGGGAGGTTGGAGTACAAGAAGTGACTAGTGAGGTAGGCAGACTAAGTCAGGAATAATGTTGTATTTGTTTATGTTAAAGATTTTGGAATTTTGCTGAAGAAGTATGAAGACATTAAAGAATTTTAATGATCAAATTTTCCTGTTACCCAGATCATTCTAGTGATGTGTAGAGTATAGGCTGGATGGCAAGTCTGGAGGTATAAAACCTATTAGAAGGCTATGGCAGTCGTCCAAGGGAGTAATGATGAGGGTCTGATCTAAGGCAATGACAGTGTGATGGAGATGAGAGGATGGGCTAGAGAGAATCTGAAAGGATATAATTGACAGGACTTGTGCTCAAATAGATTTGGTGAAAAAGAAAGTACAAACAGGCCTTTGTTGATGAGGTCTTTATTGCTGTGAAGACCATCTATTCCAACCATGTCTAAAGTCCCTGGAGATCCAACCAGAGGAATTCGAGCTGAACAACGGCAAAAACTCGTAACTCCACAGAACACATATCAAACACTCTGTGCTGTGTCACATGCTTGCGAAGGTCCATATTTTAGATTCTCCAAATTTTTTAACTTTTCTCAAGGAATATCCTCTCTAAACAACTATTGGAGATACAACAATTAATTTTTCTAGCATAGAGCCCCAGGATTAGCCTCCATATACTTTTCCTTCTACAGTTAATTTGTTCTTTTTCCAACTCTATCATAAGCTTTAAATCCATGTCTTTTTAATAATTATTTCTATAACAAACACTCTTATCTAAAAAGTCATGGCAGCCATTATAATTTGACCTACTCATAAAATTGTTTCTTTTCAGCTGTTTTTGCTCTTCAATCAGTTAAAACTAATATTAATATATTAGGTTAGTTTCTACATTGTTGCATTACTGCTAGTGATTGTTTTTACATTCTG